GAGAGGCAAGAAACGGAGAAAGGAGATCCCGTTCGCTTCGACGTCGCGTTACAACCCTTAACGAAATCTGGCAACGTTCCCCGTGTGATTTAGTGTCGACGAGTTTCCAGCGCGAAGTACAGACCGCGTCGATGTCGGCTTGTTCCACACAGAGGGAAAGAAAGAGACACGAAGAGTGGGAGGCTGGCGAAAAGGGAAGGCAAAGAGTCTCAATGAAATCTCGGGGCCGCGTATAACAGATATATCGTGGCGAAATTGAGATTGGTTATCGAAGACTGAAACCTGCTCGCGAGAGGCGAGAGAGATAGCGGCGAGAAGGAGGCTCGCCTGGATGCGGCGTGACTGTAGAGGTGTGGATGCGAGTATGTGTGTGTGTGTGTAGCGCGGGTATCAAATCGGATAGTTTGTTCATTAGAGATATTTTCCGACGGACGAACAGCGCGAGAGGCAACCGAGGGAAAGGCGTGCTCGCCGTGTATTTGTCTTGATAAATTCGAGGCAGGAAATGAGACTGTCGATAGGAGAGTCCGCGCGCGCGCGCGCGCGCGCTGCCTTCCACTCGAAAGAAGCGGAACCGCCAGAAATGAGGATTTCGATTGGTCTAACGAGGAATAATGGTCGCGCGCGCGGCCGCCCGCGCCGGAGCACCAGGATAGCGTTGCGGGAGCAGCGTGTTCGTCCGCGGACGTGGAGATTCCAGGACGAACCGCCTTGTTAATTTCGCTGCTCGCTCGTCTCGCGGCCCGACCGTAAAGAAAGAATTAGGCTCATCGCGAAAAGTTGACGGCCCACGAGAGATGGGGAGATGGTCGGAGCGGACGCGAGCGGAATACGCACGGGCGAGTTCCCGGAGAGGAGCGAGTGTCCTGTCGAGAGCGATGCTCCGTCGAACAGGCCGCAGGCTAACGGAGCGAGTCGCGAGATTCGCGATTAACTCGAATATCACGGCCGAGCGAAACGTTGGGAATGGTCAATAAGAGAAGGGCCCCCCTCCTCCTCCTCCTCCTCCTCCGCCCCCTCCCCCCCTGGAGATAACGGCGGAAGAGCGGAGTATCGATCTCGCGAGCTGCACGTCGCTGGGCTCCTTCGAAGGCACGATTCCACGAGCACTAAAGTTAACTACATTCGAATATCCGCCATTATGCATCGATCGCGAGTCGGGATATCGCATTGTTATTACGAGAGCTCGGGAAACTCGTAAAAGGGCGATTCAATCGACTGCATCGCATTACTTTTACATCCTAAGAGGACTAAACGCAAATGCGATGGCCGTTAACTCGGCGGACGGTGGGATCGCGCGCGCGCGCGCGCGCGCAAGGACCTTTCGAGAGCCGGCCGCTTTTAGCCTTCCAAGCTGGAACGACGTCGACATCGTCGCGAGGCTCGCGACGGCAAGCGGAACCGACGTGCCTCCGGGCCGGGCACGTTAATTCTCGCCTCCCCCCCCTCGCAACCCTCCCGTGCAATCGCGAGACCCTTGTTTAACCCGTTTTTCACCGAGGGAAGTAGCGCACCGCTGCTCTTCGGGCATTTCGCGGCGAAGGAGTGACGCTGCTCTCGGACACGGAAGAACGCGATCGATCGTCCCGCGAATAAAGCGGCGGACGATTTAACGACGCCACTTGAGATCGCAGATACACGCGTCCCGGGGACACATCTAAGTCGTCGAATTATATCCCACCCCCGCGCCGCGCGCCATCCCGAGCACCCCTGAGCGCTCGCCCGAGTTTGGAAATATGGCCGGCGGTTCTATCGAAACCGTTATCGATTTTGCACTCTTGCGCTCCGAAGGAAAGATTGCGACGGCAGCGTGTGTATGCTGCGTGTGCGTGAAGGTGTGGGCTATGTGTGGTGTATGTGAGATAGATAGATAGAGAGAGAGAGAGAGAGAGAGAGATTTTCGCTCCCGTATCAGTGGGCAAGCCCCGCTTGACCTGGCACACATGCCGCCCATAGATCAAGCAGAACCCTTAGGCCGAACCCCACCATGCCACGGGCTAACCATTAATTTACAACCCGCAGAGTAACCCCATGCCTCAACCCCTGCATACAGGATCCGCGTCCCCTTGCGGCAGATATGAGCTACGACGCGGCGCTGAGGGATTCAACCGCCCCGGCACCCGGACGGTCCCTTCTATCTCACCGACCTGTCTCCTCCGTTCGCCATCTCCGTCGCGCGGCCCCTCCGCGCGTCATCCCTTAAGCGACCTCCACCCAGCCGCCGCTCTCTCTCTCTCTCTCTCTCTCGAGGAGCTCCCCCGCTTTCCGCCAGCTCGTTTCCACGCCGTCGTGGAGAAGCCCCGACGAAAGAAATTTAAATCTATCGACGGGCGCGTCCTCTCCTGCGGTTAATCTCCAGCGATAATAGCTCCGGCGCGCGCAGGAGGACGCGTCTGGAATTGTCTCGTGGATAGATTTCGATCGGCGAATTATCCATCCAGGGACCCTTGGATTTTGGTCACGGTGTTGAGCAGATAGATAGACGGATGGTCCGATAGATAGATAATCGACTGTACGAGCCGCGGCAGGATTTCCTATATAATGGACGGCTCAACTTCGGACCTTCTTACCCTGACTGACTGTCGTAGGAGGGAGCGACGCGACGCGACGCGCAAAATAGCAACCTCCGTTAATCGTCCCGCGCGTTAATTCCGCCTCCCTGAATAAAGCCGCTTTTGCGCGCTCTCGGCCACTGCAATCTCGATCTTCGACTTTTTCCTCGGCCAGACGGACTCGAACCCGGTCCGAAGTGTTCATAACGAGCTCTCCGGCGGCTGCTGATGGGGTGAGGAACAAAACTCCTAATTGTCAGTGGACTTCAAACTATCCAGGACACGAAAGGAAGGAAGCAAGAAAAAGAATGAGAGAGAGAGAGAGGAGATCTGCAAAGATTGAGAGACAGACCGAAGCGAAGAGAGAGAGAGAGAGGGAAAGGGGGGGGGGAGAGAGTCGCGAATGAATGCTAGAAACTGAAAATGGACGGGGACGCTCTTTGATTTTGCGGGCTTTATTTTCGCTTAATAAGCGGGTGCGAATAAGCCCGGCTGTTGCTTGCGCTTTGTAACTCGATGGAAGTAAGTTGTCCCCTGTTTCGTTTTGTTGTCCGGCTGTTCCTTCCCAACCTCCGCGTCCCGGAGCAGCCGTCCCCCCTCCCTGCCCGTCGCCGAGCCCCGTGGCGCTCTCCCTCTCTTTCCCGCGGGAATGAAAGGAACGAATAATTAGGGAAGGTTGGCGGGCACGGCCCGAAAGTTTCTGGCCAATTAATTAGACGGAGAAATGCACGGTACGAGAGGTAACCGGCGCATAAGCGCCAGGGACGGCAATTTAAACAGCGACAATTCGACTGCGATTATCGCTGCACAAACGTTTTGACGGCGCGCTTTTATAGCATAAAGGCTTCGGTTGATAATGGCGGGTATTAGCGACTTGAATACCATTATGAAAGGTCCACGTGCGCTCTCGCTCTCTCTCTCTCTCTCTCTCTCTCTCTCTCTCTCTCTCCCTCTCTCTCTTGCTCTACGAGAGATGAAACTTGTAGAATTTAAGATTGCGAAGAATGAATGGAAGTGTGCAAATCTCCGCTCGGAGACGAGAAAGAGAAGGGGAGGGAGAGAGAGAGAGAGAGAGAGAGAGAGAGAAAAAGAGCACCGGCGGAAATTGCACCGAAATAGAAAACACCGCTGGTCCGATAAATAAAAAATCACGACACCGTCGCGATTGGGTCGCAAAGTATCGAAAGTACCGCGTCGAGTGCGCTCGTCCGCGAGATACCCCCGGGGATAAGACAAGACTTAAGACTCCGCGCGCGCGCGCGCGCGCTCCACTTAAGCACACGCAATTTTCAGAACACCAGCCGCGCTCCCCCCCGCGGCGACACGATACCGCTAAGTATTGACGAGTCACGCGCGCGCCTCGCAGACCTCTCGCTGATCTTAATAAAACACCGTCAGCTTTACGTTTGATGGGCGATAAGACGCACGTGCTCCCCTTTCACACCAGAATAGACTTTATATAGCCGGCTGGACGCAGCCCTCCTCCGCGGCCGACCGACCGACCGACTCCTACACCCCCCGCCACCGCCCGCGCCGCCGCGCGTGGTGGTGGTTCCTCTTCTTTTTCTCAACCCTCGTCGAGCCGTTCTCTCGTCGTCGCGTCGGAGACTCGCCCCTCGTTTCCTCCGCTTAAAAACCGGTAATTACTGCGAGATGCCGGCGCGCTCGGGCATTTACCATCCCCGAGACACGGTGTTACGGTGTTTTTTCGCTTAACACGGCGACACTCGACTCGCGCGATTTTCGTACACGGCGCCGCCACTGCATTACACCACGCGCGCGCGCGCGCGCGCAGTAGCCATCTCGATGCGGATAGCGCGACGGATTAATTATGCGGTAAGTATCAGCAAGCGCGTCTTGCGCGGCACACTCGCGAAACTCGAAACCTTTTGCAATTTGCATAATTCCCTTGTATAACCGCGCTTCGTTCAAAAAGTTATTATAACTTTAACTATTATTATTATCGTTATTGCTATCAACCTCGAGTGCTTACATCTCTCTCTCTCTCTCTCTCTCTCTCTCTCTGTCTCGCTCTCTCCACCCCCCCGCCCCTCCCTCTCTCTTCCTCGCTTTCTGCGACGACTATCATATTATCAAGAATGCTTATATTACCATATTATTATCGTAATCTTGACTTATTATCACCGTAGATGAAAGTTACAACTTCGCCGCAGCCTCGTTATGTGACTATCGTCGCCGAACCTTTTGGCCGTAATAGAGTCTCCCCTTTTCCATTTTCTTCCTCGCGCCGCGAGATTGGCGAGAACGCGACGCGAGAGGGAGAGATCGGCGATTCACTGCGGCGCCGGCGGCGGCGATCGGTGCGTTTATTTTCGGCGAGAGCAACCTTGGCGCGTCAATCATATCCGCGATTAACGCGCAAAGAGACACGCGTTCCGAACACCATTCGCCGGCGTAATCTCACGATCGACGTGCAAAAAGTCGACATTTTCGCGAGAGACATGCGCCATCTACTAAGGTTGGGGTTACTCGTTGAATGAACAATCGGGAGCAGCGCGGTCTCACGAGAGGAACCGATCGGCGCGTTAAAGCACAAACGAGAGAGATGGTACGTATAAACGCATACAACGCTCACCTTGATCGTCGCGTGGTGGGATCTTTCATGACCATGACCTCTGTGATGTCCCCATACTTGGTGAAATACTCCCTAAGGCTCTCTGAAACAATACGATAACACCGGTTACTTGACGCGCACGACGACGATGACGACGGCGGCGGCGGCGGCGGCGGCGGCGACGAAGATGACGACGAGTCGCTGACGGAGTAGCTTTGGTAGCTTTTAATACGCGCGACTTGCTAAGCATTCGACATTCCCCGGTTGCAATTTTTCTCGCCCGAGAGCGCCGCGTTCGTTTGCCGCGCTATTCTCGTCATTTTTCACGAAGACGCCCTCTCTCCGTCTCCTTTCTCTCTCTCTCTCTCTCTCTCTCTCTCTCTCTCTCTCTCTCTCTCTCTCCCTCCGCTTCCGTCGCGCGGACGACCAAGTGTCAGACCGAGACCGACGAGATACGGCATCGCGACGAAAAGCTAAATTATCCCGTCGCCCAGGCATCTGTCAGGCAAAGTTAAGGCTAAAGGCGGCCCCGGAAGATCGCTGACGCTAATTGGAATTAGTAGATAACAACGCGAGTCGACACTTCGGGGCGTAATCCCCGTAGCCTGATAAACGCGGTGCGTGCGCCCAAAGTAAAGCTTCAGCTTAGCACGAGCCCAGCTCGGGCGACAGCTAATTCTACACATTGTGCACCTGTTTCCGACGCCGCGCGCGCGCGCGCGCGCGTCGATGCGAATAAGTGCCGTCTCGGAGTTGCCGTGAAAACGTCAGCGGTAACGACACCGCCGGATAATTCGGCCGACGGAAGCGTCGCCGAGGAGACGACGGACCCCTCCAACTTCACGCCCCTGTTCTCTCGCGTGATTTCGCTCCTCCGTCGGAGGATTAATCCCGCGACAGACGGCGTGCAGACGCTCTCTCACGTCCCGATAAATTGCCGCCGTAAGCGGGAAATATCGAAAACGCACTCGGGCTGCGCCGGGAGGGAAGCCTTGGAAGCGGCAGGAAATCGCAACATTCCAAATTCAAAACACGCCGTCTACCGAGCGCGCGTCGCCCTCGCAAAGTCGAGGCATCGTGTCGTCGCGGATCGAGGACCGTTCCCGTTCTTCGAGCGCGAAAGCAGCGAAAATATCTTCCGTCGTCGGCGAAAAAGTATGCCGCGCGGCACGAGCGAGACCGGGCCTATTAAGAACTCGATCGCGTTATTAGGATGCGATCGTTTCAGCCGCTATGAAGCGGCCGGGCCGCGTAAATATACACGCGCGGCCGCCCTCGCCTCGGCGCGAGACCGCGTCTCCGCGGATTTCTGACGCGGCGCCGCCGCCGACGAGGAGGGACAGACGAAGCCGACACACGTTTCTCTCTCTCTCTCTCTCTCTCTCTCTCCCCCACTCTCTCTGTCTCTTCCTTCGTTTATTTTTTTCACCCTAATCGGCCGAGAAATTATCCAATCGCGCCGCGTGCCGCGCGATCAATGCGACCAATGTGGAAGCTCTCTCCGCGCGCACACACACACACACACACATACTCACACATTCCGCCGTTTCCCACCAGGGACACCCCCTTGACCCTTTTCGTAGGTTTATAGCAAAAGGCTCAACACTCTGGCGGCAGGCCAACATGGCCGCGCTCCAAATACGTCTTACACCTTATCTAATTATACGCTGTTTCATCCAGTCCGCTCTGAAGACTTCGTAATGTTCGGCGGTTACTCGGCCGTTCGGTCGTTCGCGAGCGAGCGAGCGAGCGAGCGGGCTTCGATAAATCCACGACACGCGGAGGTTCACGATACACCGCAAGCGAGGCTAAATGCGTACCCGCCCCTCTCTCTCTCTCTCTCTCTCTCTCTCTCTCTCTCTCTCTCTCTCGGCCACGTCGGAATCCACGACGGCACGGCGATGGATCGCGCGAAATTCGCCGGGGGAAAAGAGGATGGAACACGACCGATTATCCCAAGTGGCGCGCGCAATTAGTTGCCGCGACTATTTTTACATCCATCGCCCGATATCGCCGCGTTTACTCGCCGATCCGTGTACGCGTGCGAGCGCGAAAGAGAAGGAGCGATATGGCGCGCTTCAGCGACACCCGGAGAGCGCGTCTTGAAAATGCGAGCGATTCCCGTTGGCGATTGGAATCGCGCAACAGCGAGGAGCGCCGGCCGGCCGGCCGGCGCACCAAATGGAAATATAAGTTTTAATTGTTGTCCGTGCGACACGTAGGGAGAACGCGAGCGGTCCGTAATCGCGAGAGCGTGGAGTGCTTGATAATTGTTACTGCCGTGGGGAGTGGAAAACAGAGGATAACTGGACTTGCTAATTCAGCACGCGGCATTAATCAATGAATTATTGGTATCCCCGGGTCATTAGCCGTCGGTGGGTACCACCTGTTTGGTAACGAGGCTCGCGCATAAATTACACCCGCCGCCCGCCCCTCCCTCCCCCGCCGCGGCCCGGGCTGTGTTAATTAGTGACACCAAGTCGGAATTCTTGAGGAGGCGATACAACGACGAGAACGAGGACGACGAGGGCCGTTATCAACCGCGCCGGCTAATGTTCGTTTCATGACTAAACATTTAAAAGACAATTAGGCCGAGAGAGACCGACGCAGAGATATCGACGTCGCAGCCCCGCTTATTACGCGCGCCGTCTCGGAAATGAGATTTTGTTAATAAAAAGGGAGATTATCGAAGCGCGTGCCGCGGAATTGCCTCTTAATGGATATGTAATTTGCATTTAAACCGGGACGAACTTTCGGCCGAGGGGGCAAGAAGCGAGCCGGGGGAGGGAGGGGCGCTGTATTGTCGCCGAGCGATCTTGGAAAGTCGAAACGAGGGGATATCAGACTGCCGATCGGCGAGACTGATCGTGCGCTTTCCGTCCGACGCTCGTCACTCGTCGACGTGACGGCTCGGATCCGCCCCGGCGGGGATAATGAATTTTCTAACGGCTCGCGTTGCGCTGTTTACCAAACGCCGGAGAGATGCAATCTCTCTTTCTCTCTGGCCGCTGCTGAAACTCTGCTCGACTTCCATGCGAGCCTCGTCGCGTATTCGCGATCTCTCAGAAAGCTGGCTGACCATTCTTCCCTTCGACACGTGGAGATCTTTCGGATGTATGAGCGGCTCTCTCTCTCTCTCTCTCTCTCTCTCAGAATCGCTGTAAAATTTCGGGACTGAGGAAAGAACAGGTGTGCAGTTCGAAGGGAAGAATTGGCAAGCGGCTTTCCGAGAGATCGCGAGCGTAACGAAAGTTCGTGTCGAAGTCGTGTCGTCGAGCCCCAGGAGATTGCGCTTTTGGCATGCAGGAGGTAACGACGAGGCATTGGCGAATGTATTGTCTTCGCTTATGGATGTCGGAGCGCGCCGTCAAGTATCCGTCGAATATCGATAAAGCGCGCGCGCGCGCCCTTCGCAACGCTTACGTAATTCTCAATTCTCACGACGATCCCTCGATAATTCTCCGGATCCGCCTCGGTATAACGTCGGCCTACTCGGCCCTATAAAAATGTCATTAAAGCGGCAGGGGTGCACTCTCCAGCGGGGGAGACAACGTGGCAGGGGGTGGCTTGCCAATGCTTCCTTAATTTGTCCCGGCTGGCGGATTGATGGAAGCAATTTCGTCCTTCTCGCAAGAGAAGACGCTCTTAAAACGCGGCCGCGATCCGCCCAAATTTACGGCTGTCATTTCCTTAATTGTTCCCCGGCCCAACTTATTTTTCACGCGCGGCCCTCACCGGCGTCCCGCATTCTCACTCCAGCCGTTGCAGCAGCGCCGGGGCTACGGGCGGAAGGTACCGGCCGTGCCTTGGCCCTTTGCCGGTGACGCGACTCGCTTACTCAGCTCGGAGAATTCCTCTCGTTGCCGTTCAACGGCAACAAGCGGAAGCTGCGAGCGATACGTCGCCGGCGCCGAATGAAGTAGTGCTCGGAAGAAAATGGAATGTTTACTCGTAACTTTCTTTGACTCTCCTCCTCCAGGAATGCGGTAATTTATGGCGTCGGAAACAAAGAACTGCAGTTCGCTCGTTATAGCAGCGGCTAGTTGATTAATTACGACGTAGTTGCAATAACGAGGCGCGGAGTAATCGTTACGTGAAACCGCTGGAGAGTCGCGGGAGAAAGCAGGGGGGGGAGAGAGAGAGAGAGAGAGAGAGAGAGAGAGAGAAAGAGGACGACGACGATCCGGACGTTATCATGTAAATACGCGCCGTTTATACAATGAAGAAGAAACACGAGCGCGCGCGCGCGCGCACACACACGTCGTTTGCGGGCAATGTAAACGCGGGGCAAAAAAAGGTCACACACAGATCTCTCTCCGAGCTTGCAGACTCGCGCACAAATCCGCGAGTATTCGACTCTCCTCTACTTCCTTCCACGTCCACGCGTCTTCGTTTCGCCCTGCTGTATTTTTACGCGCGGGGCGCGCACAGTCATGCCTGCGCTCTGGAGAATTGCGAGCGGCATGGTAAATATTTCCAATCAAATGTTTGCGAGGCAACAGAACTCGAGAAGTTCTATCCGCGCGGCGGAGAGGATATTACGGTTAAGAAGTTTACGAGCGGTGAATTTGCCGAAGTGGCATGCATTGTACTGCGTTTTGCATTGGTGATGTGCCAAGCGGGGGGGCTCCGCCACCCCAGCGAGAGAATGCCGCGTTTCTCTGCGAGCGGGAGCGCGAGCGCGCGCGCTCGCGCTGAATTTGCAAATTTACGTTTTACATTTCTCCGCGCAAAACGTAGCGTTTAGTGGACCTACGCGCGCGCGCAAGCCCTCCTCGCAAGCGCGAAGCACGCGTATAGCTCTCGCTGATTCTTCGCGCGTCGCGCGGAGTCGAGACGAGTAATCGTGTTCGCGAGAACGAGGTGCGAGCCCACGTTACCCCCCCCCCGACTCTAATTACCCCGAGGAGATCGGAGATTGAGTTCAAGTTCGTCGGAAAGAAACCACTGTGAAATCGCGACTGCAACCCCCTACTTGCCTGCTTCCCCAACCCCGTGTCGTCGATCATCCTCGGTGAATGCCGAGACCGCGCGCGCGCGCGCGCGAGCTTTGCTTCACTTTCGTAACTTCGTCCCTTCATCCCCCCCGCGCGCTGCACCCTT